AGCTTTTTCCTCGCTGACCTCCGAACAGAAAACAAGTCAAGCCTTTGCGAACGATCCGTGGTGATAGCGCGGCGCCGTCAAGTAGAGTTGTCGTGTATCGAGTCGGGACACGACGAATTGAGTTTAGATCGTGCGTGGAAGCGATCAATCCTGATAGGCGATTGTGTTGAACCCATTCGCGTATGCGAGTGATCAATCGGGCCTAGTGCGCGAAACCCACATTGTGTGGAAACGTAGAATAGCGTGCCTCGAAGCGTGTTGCTGGCGAAGGCAGCTAGTTTGTCGATCGTGAACCGGTTTAGTAGTGATTAAAGACTTATCTGTGAGATAGGCGAACCGTTTCTCGGTCATTGTACATAGTGCTGTAATATATTGACGATTGATATTTTTACAATAAAGAGTTGTTATGTTGTAAAAGAGTGATTTATTGCACGCACATACACATCGCAAACCTGAAATAACCTTCGTCCTAGGAGGTCAAAGGACGTGGCGACCGAGAAATAATAAAATTACAAAGGACCGAAACTTGAAATTTCATTTGTCCGACTATAAAGAGCGGAAAAATAAGAAAGTCATCGGATTTCTAAGAAACACCGCCCCGAATCTCGCATTGTCCGGTCACAAGGTGTCCCCTAATCTAAATAATTACCCAATTTTCAAATGTAAAAGCTGAAATCGCAGATAATTCTACATTTGCATACTCTACATCATCAACAAGGTGAATAGGATTGTGAATAACAATATTTTGCGAATGTTGTCCGTAAAAAGAAGGAAATAAGTACACAAATTTTCGTAATAATGATTTTGCGTATTCTAAGTACGTGATTGCCAATTTAGAACTGCAAAGAATGCGAACTGCTACGTAAAAAAGCATGAAATGTTCATACACATCTTTTTTTAAAATTTTATGAAGACATACAACACTGGAATAGTGTAAGAAAAATCTATATTGTGTTGTTTTCCAATTACTCAAATCATTTAAGTCAAATTTCTTCCTCTGGAAGTCGTCGGGAACAATAGTCAGATTACTAAGAATTTTACATAAATATTCTCTTTGATTCGTACTTATTTTTGTTTTGCGATTCCTTCCAAAAAGCCATTCTTCTAACAATATTTTCATTATTCCGATATACAGTAAATGCATCGAATCGAGAAAAAAATCTTTTACTGGATCAAATCTTGGGATATCTAAAAGAGGCGATTTACTATTGTGATGTTCTTTCTGATGCTGTTCCTTAAAAGATTTCCTAGTTCTCAGTTTACAATTTATGTTTGCATATATTCTTTTTTTATGTCCTGTGCGGTTCGTAATGGAGACTCCTTTAACTTCACAACGTTCGCATGCATAAAATCCGCCATGTCCTTTAGTACATTTCAAAAAAGCACGAGCAGGAGTGTCACAAACAAAACCAAGGATTTCGACAATAAAATGATCTTCTTCGATATCAATACTATTTCTCAAAAGTTCTTTTATTTCGGTGATAAAATCTTGTAAATATTCATCTACTAAGTTTGGCTTCGATTTTCCACAAAATGCAGCAGCCATGAACGGAGATGATTCATATTCCAGATCAAATACACATATTAATATAGGCCATAACTGTTCACCTGAATGATTAAAAACAGGCAAACCATCAATATTTATGAGCAATCTTATTATACGTTTCTTGTACACATTTGGAGAAATAATTTGCTTTAAATTTTCTGCAATTCCCATATAAATGTAATAACCATATTCCTTATTTCGACTTTTCGATTTCATCCGTCTAATCTCTTTATTTTTATATTTATTACTACTCAACAACGCTGCAGCACTTTTCGGAAGTTCTGTGTGACCATCATTTCTCAAAATTTGCAATAATTCGGTGGTAAAATCTTTAGTCACATGAGATATATGACGAACAATTAATGCATGTATTTGATCTCGAAATGAAGATTTTCCATTATCTGTATTTTCTAAATTCGTGTTGACATTAGCGTTTAGAGAAATATTCTTACATGAAGGAGAAGATTGAAAAGGGCATAGGGGGGTAAGTATATAAAAGATGCCCCCGCATGAAATCGGTTCAAATTAATACCACATATTGCTATCTATATAAGTATAAAATCCTGTAAGTATGAACTGAAAATTCGCTTTTTTGGGGGAGTTATGGAGGGGGTAAGGAAAATAAAAAAACCCATTTTTCTCGGAAACTAATGAACCGATTTTAATAAAATTTAAATATGTTTTAAATGTAAGTGAGGCGATGTAGAAAAAAAAAAGTTCAAATTTTTTTCAAGAAAACTTAGAAAAAAATCAATTTTTAAATTTTCAACAATTTTTTTTTTATTGATTTTTTAAAGATACACCTCTATTTTTTTTTTCAAAAAATACTACATAGTGTCCTCTTTAACATATATTTTTTCCAAATTTTAAAAAAATAAACTTTTTGAGAAAAATAAGTTTTTGTAACCACTGACGCCGCGCGCCGACGCCACGGTCGTCAAGCGCAGACTTCTTGTGCAGGAAATTATTCGACGGCTGAGTTCTTAACCGATTTTAATGTTTTTTTTTTTAATACTCGGGATTAATTGTACTATATCGAACACCCGCGCCAATTTTGATATTATTAATTCTCTATAAGTAATCAGTTGAAAACGTACTGTATCTGTTGTAAATCGCGTTCACTTACAAGGGGACGCTCAAGCTAGTATATCACGGATTTGTTCGAAAAAAATTGAGGTGATACTTTGAGACAAAAAAATTTACACGTGTTTCGGCATAAGAACTCAGCAGTCGAATAATTTCCTGCACAAGAAGCCTGCGCTTGACGACCGTGGCGTCGGCGCGCGGCGTCAGTGGTTACAAAAACTTATTTTTCTCAAAAAGTATATTTTTTAAAAATTTGGAAAAAATATATGTTAAAGAGGACACTATGTAGTATATTTTTTTTTTAAAAATAGAGGTGTATCTTTAAAAAATCAATAAAAAAAAAATTGTTGAAAATTTAAAAATTGATTTCTTTCTAAGTTTTCTTGAAAAAAAAAATTTGAACTTTTTTTTTCTACATCGCCTCACTTACATTTAAAACATATTTAAATTTTATTAAAATCGGTTCATTAGTTTCCGAGAAAAATGGGTTTTTTTATTTTCCTTACTCCCTCCATAACTCCACCAAAAAAGCGAATTTTCAATTCATACTTACAGGATTTTCAGGAGACGCGGTAGCGTCTCCGGCCATGTTCAAAAACTCTGAGACGCTACAAGTCTCTTATCCCGAGCCACCAAAGTCCATTTTTGGGAGGTGCATAATTACTAAAATATAAAAAATTTTGAATCGAACGTTATATGTCTTGAAAGGCGGCATCGCCACGAGTAATTTGAGCCAAAAAAATTTTTAATCGGTCAAGCCGTTATGGAGATATAAGCGGTCGAAAAGTGGTGATTTTAATGAAAAATTAAGAAACGTCTCCTTCTCCTTCTCCTTCTTCTCTGTCCGCATTTTTAAACTTTTCAACATCCTCTCTCACCTTTCACTCGCACCTCCACCATCTTCGGCCCACCGAACCTCCTCCACTCGCCTACCACCTCCCCCTCCCACCTACCCCCGCCGCTTCTCTTTTTCGCGGTATTTTTTCGTTATTACAACTTTTTGACATCCTCTCTCACCTTTCACTCGCACCTCCACCATCTTCGGCCCAACGGACCTCTTCCACCCGCCCCTTCCCCTCACCCCACCAACCACTCCCGCCACCCCTCTTTTTCGCGCTATTTCACTCTTTTTCGTTAATACAACTTTTTAACATTCTCACCTTTTACTCGCAGCACCACCATCTTCGACCTACCGGACCTTAAAATATTAATTAAAATAAGAACCGACTGCTGACTGGTACGACGAATATTTAAAAAGAAAAATTTTGAAAAATTATCTTATTTAATTGTAAAAAACTTTATCTAAAAAAATTTATTTTATATGAAGGTAATAAGGAAAATCGATGCGTTAATATTAGACGGTTAGTGAAAACAATCTTGGGGATTGTTTTGATGTGGAAGGGCGGATGCGCGCGAGTTTCATATCCCCCCTCACTCGGCTCACCAATAAACCAAGCAGTCATCTTTTAAATACATATTATATGTAATAAAATTACTGTTTTAAATACTCCCGACTGCTGACCGATATGACGTATATTTAAAATCATCGCAGTACTATCACGAGTTAAATTGTAATATATTACCACGAAAAGTAACTGATTATTAATTATTAAAGTTGCCAATACAAAGTGAACATACGTAAAGTGTATTCGACTGTCATGGGACATTTCGACTGCCCGCGGAGCGGTGAAGGCGACAATGCAACATTTGGTTGATTTTCGAATCGCCTCCGTCTAGCTTTCGCTGTTCCTCTCATAACACCTCACCGCGCATAATATATTACCAGGAAAAGTAACTGTTTTACATTTATTTAATAATTTTGATTTATAATTACTACGTAAAGTAATTGTAACTGTTTTACATTTTTTAATAATTTTGTTTTATAATATGCAATCGCGTTAACGAAAAAAAATAAATGGGGCATTCTCCGCGTGTCGGAGTCCCCTTCTGCCCATTTCATTTTTTGACAGAATTCAACCAACCAGGGCTTAAAATTTTCGTTGGAGTGTCTATTTTTTATTGGCGTGCGGCATTGTGTGAAAATTCAAAATGGCGGACTGGTGCAGCGCCGAAAATTAAAAATGAAGTATATATCTGTAAAAAAAATGTAGAAGTGACACTTCATTCGGATAATACTGTATACTGAGGAGTTTTTCGAGGTTGCTGGTTCCGATTCTGAAGTCGAAATTGAGAAATTCAAAATGGCGGACCGAACATGGTCAACCGAAATGTCGAAATCTCACTTACTTATGAAACTCGATACTGAGGAGTTTTCGAAGTCGCTGGTTCCGATTCTGAAGTTGAAATTGAGAAATTCAAAATGGCGGATTGAATATGGCCGACTGAAATGCAGAAATCTCACTTATTTCTTATGAAACTCGATACTGGGGAGTTTTCGAGGTCGCTGGTTCCGAATCTGAAGTCGAAATTGAGAAATTCAAAATGGCGGACAGAATATGACCGACTGAAATGCAGAAATCTCACTTGTTTCTTATGAAACTCGGTATGGGGGGTCTTTGAGGTCGCTGGTTTCGAATCTGAAGTAGAAATTTAAAACTTTAAAATGGATGCTCCAATATGGTCGACCGAAGTGCAGAAATATCACTTGTTTCGGGTGAAACTCGGTACAGGGGGTTTTCGAAGTCGTCTATTCCGAAATTGAAGTCGAAATTTGTAAATTCAATTGTATAATTCTTCAATATAATGAAGCATTACATAAAATTTCATGAATACTAACAATGTTGTTAAACCTTATAACGTTGAACTTGAAATATCGAACTATCGAGTTGAAAAAACAAAATGAAGTATTTGGTGATACGGAGATTTTATCTCTACTTACGATTGATTCCGCGCTTAGCATCACCCAGGATCGACGGCGTGGACGTAGCGGAAATCCGATCCCTTCGGGGTGCTTGATTACAGTGAGTCCCCTTGCCTCTCACTATCTAAATGCTTAGATGTCAAAATCGCATTTTTAGGCTTGAATTACAGGTTGTCTCATTTTAAAACTATACGTCTTCCTTCAGTGGCATTTGAATATCTTTTCATGAAAATTTCATTAACCGATAATACTTGGAATGCGTGGTTTTTAATTATTTCTGGTACAGGTAGTGCTGATTCAAATCTCTTGTTTAATTTTTTTTT